CGCCGGCCCCCGCGCGCGGCCGGGCCTTGCCCCCCATGGTCTCCCGGCCTGAACCGGAGGGCGAGACCATGGAGGCCGAGCTGGCGGTGGCACCGTCGGGCTGCTCGCACCTGGGCAGCTTCAAGGTGGACAACTGGAAGCAGAACCTGCGGGCCATCTACCAGTGCTTCGTGTGGAGCGGCACGGCCGAGGCCCGCAAGCGCAAGGTGCGGCCTGCATGCTTGGCGGCCCGGCTGGCCCGGGCCGGGGGGGGGGGGGTCCTCCGGCGGGGCTGCGGGCTTGGGTGGGGGCGGGCAACGGTAACGGAAGGCGGCTGGGGGGGGGAGGGGGTTCTTCTCGCCTATCCTCCGTCCTTCTCCGCCCCACCCCCCGGCCGTGGGGGGGGGCGACGCCGCGGTGGGGCGGGGCTTGGGAGACGAATGCAAATGGATGCGGGGAGCACTCCTAGAGGAGGTTGGGAGCTTGGGACTCTAGGTGAGGGGCTTCTCCAGCGCTCTAGCCTCAAGCTCCTGCCCGGGGGTGGGGGTGGGGCGGGGCGGCTGGAGGGGAGGATTTGGAGGAAAATATATAAAAAGAACCCAGCGCTTTGACTGGTTGTAGATCTTCTGTCACCATCCGGAGCCCCCCCACCTCCTCACACTGGGGTGTCGATCCTTGAAGGTCGGAGAGTCGGGCCTTTGGCCGTGGATTGGGGTTGTTGGGGTTCCCCCCCCCCGGGTTGCCAGGATTGCGGGGTTGCCAGGACGCACGGAACTGAGCAGGACCTCACGCCCCTGTCACCTCCCTATATTTTCTTTTTTTTCTTCTTCTTCTTTTGCCAGTCCTGGGGCTTGAACTCAGAGCCTGAGTACTGTCCCTGAGCTTCTTGTTTTGCTCAAGGCTAGTGCTCTACCACTTGAGCCGCGGCGCCACTTCCGGCTTTTTCTATTTATGTGAGGAATCGAACCCAAGCCATCGTGCATGCTAAGCAAGCACCCTACCACGAAGCCACATTCCCAGCCCAGTTTGGTCTTTCTCCAGTGCCCCATTTCATGGTAATAGTTGATAGACCAATTATTCTGGGACCAAAAGGCACTGATGGGGGAGCCTTCCCTCACTTTCTGTCGTCTGATGTCCTCCCTCTGAGGTTTCCCTTTTCCTCTGGGCCATACTTTGAACCTGGGTCATGACATTCTGTGGGATTCTGAGCATTCTTTTCCCACCCGATCTGCATATGTATTTCCTTTACTGACTGAGTTGTTGCCCTTTTGATGTCCTCTGTAGTGTATTACAGCAACCTACAATGGGGCCCCTACTGCCTTGAAAAGTCAGAGAATTTTTTTTCCTCTTGCTGCAAGGAGGCCCCTTTATTTAGAGTCAGTGTAGATGTTAACTTGCTTGGTGGCAGCAAGTTCCAGAGCCCTGATCAGGGCCCAAAGTTCCACCTGTTGGGTCAGCCACCCCTGAGGAAGAGCCTTTGCCAACCTTCCCTGATTTAACTACTCCCATGAATGAAGAGTGTCAAGACTGTGAGGGCCTGGGGTTTTTCCAAATGAGAAGGTATAATTTTTTCCAGTTCAAGGTGTCAGTAGTACTAAATAGGCCACCCTCTTGGACTATGCTGAGTTAATTTGCTGAGGGGCATTTGCAACATCTGAGCCTGAGCTGTCCAGCCTGAGGCACCAGTTTACAGGTTTGGGATCTAGCTCCACTGGTTGAGGTGAGATTAATGTGTCAAGCTTAATAGCTCAGGCGCCTTTACTGGCTTCTGAAGGGCAGTTGGGATGTACAGTGGAGGTACAGGTGTCCTTTCTGCAGAGTCCCCTGATAAATGGCTTTCTTTCTGAGGCTTAGATGATTTTGCTAAAACTCTACAGTGGCTGGCCCTGTGAATTTGCATGGAATCTCACCCATGATGGCAGTGTTGAGGCAATCTGTAACCAGCAGTCTTCATAGGAGAACTGAAGTTTGGACTGTCAGGAGATGGTAAACTTCACTAATAGTGAGGACATGGAGGGTGCCTTCCAGGGGCCAGTCTACAACAAAAGATGACCATTTGACCAAAAGTCTAAAGACACCTGGGAGTCATCTTGACTCCATAATCCCTAAAATAGCCCTTTGAAAATTCTTTTTTTTTTTTTTTGGGTGGGTCTTGGGGCTTGAACTCTGGGCTTGTGCACTGTCCCTCAGCCCTTCAGCTCAAGGCCAGTGTTCTACCACTTGAGCCATGGTGCCACTTCTGGTTTTCTGGTAGTTAATTGGAGATAAGAATCTTACAGACTCTCCTGCCTGGACTGGCTTTTGAACCTCAGTCCTGAGATCTCAGCCTCTTGAGTAGCTAGGATTATAGGCGTGAGCCACCCACACCTGCTTGAAAAATTCTTAAGCATATAATGTAAGACAGTTGGTTTAGAGTGACTCCCACCCATGTTCCTCCCTGCTTTGGTGTTGTGTGGACAAAGGTAGGTTACTTGCATCCTTCACAGGACTATAGGTGCTTCTTGGCTGAAGATGTGCTTGTATAAGCCCGGGCCTGGTCAGAGGTCCTATTACAGAATGTGAATCATTGTTAGGCCATGTAAAGTCATCATGGAACCACAGATTAGGACCCTTGGGCTCCAGCCTCCGTAGCTTTTGGCTGTGGAGCCACAAATAATTTTTTTAACTGTATTTTTTTTACCACAAATAATTTTACATTCACATTCATACAAGAAGTTACACATTCCCTCCTTCCTTTGGGAGTACCCTAAACTGGTAGCCCTCTGAAAAAGATGCCCTGAACTGGTGGCTCCCTCTGAAGTGGCCTGTTCTTTGTAAAGTCAAGCCCTGAAATGGTGACTACTAAAAGAACAGGCCTAAACTGGTGGCTGTCTTTAAAAGGACTGCACACTGCGGCCAGAGATGATTGGGCTCCCCTTCCATCCTACCAGACAGAACGAGAGATCCAGGCCCTGATTCAGAAGCAGGTGTTCAGAGTTGTTCCATCTCTCCATTGAGCCCAGGAGACTGCCACTTTCTTGGTGACAGGACCCAGGAGAAGGAGCAGCCTCGTTCAAACATAGGAGTGCTGCCCACTCCAATGAGAGCAGAGGCCTGCACGGGTGGCTCAGAGGGCCAACATCGTAGTCAGGGAACCAACATGTGGAAAATACTCTGGGAAGAAGCAAGAGGCACTGGGAGAGTTGGAGAACTCAGTTACACCACTGGGCCCAGAGGATCCTTGCTCCAGGGTCTCATCCTCAACCAACAGGAGGACCATCCTTTTATAGAGCACAGGTGCCCTAGAGGTTACATTTTCTTGAAAATTACTTGCAAGCTTTTCCTTACCAGGTTGAGCTAGTTCTCAAAATGGCAGGTTTCCTTTATCAATTGGAAATAAGAATCTTATGGACTTTACTGCCTAGGCTGGCTTCAAACCAAGATTCCCATGTCAGCTGCCTGAGTAGCTAAGATTACAGGCATGAGCCACAAGTGCTTACCATCTGCTTGACTCTTAAGGGGAGACACTGGTTGATGGCATTTAGGGCTGGCTCAAGCAACCAAGTATCATCTCACCTTAGTACATTTAATTTAACTTTTTCTAAAAACATTCTTTTTGTATGTTGCATTTTGTTTCCAATCTACAAAAGTTGTCTGAGATTGATTTGAGCTACTCTAGGCTTTTGTTGTTTTCAGTGTTGGGGATGGAATCCTATCACTAAGCTATACCCTCAACTCATTTTTAGTTTCTAGCTTCTGGAGCAAAGAAACTCTGGATACCTGTTTTGAAAAGGTTTTCTAATATAATAATGGTGGTTTTAAGTCTAGAATTGTGCTATACTACTGTACAGTGGTCACTAGCCACATGTTCTATTTACATAAATTAAGATGTGATACAATGTAAATTTTAATTTCTTATTTGTACTAGCCATACTTCAAGAGCTTGGTAATCATGTGTAGCTGGTGGCTTTCAGAAGTTGGGACAGTACAGACACAGAACATTACAGCATAATAGAGCGTTCTGTGGACAGTAGAGAAACTATTCAAAAGATGTGAAAATTTTATTAATATATCAGACAGCTTTCTGTTTCTGTATTTAGTGTAAGTTGCCTTGTTGGTTGGCTGCTTAGTATTAGAACAGCTCTTTTGGTTATGTTGAATCCATCAGCCTGGCAAAATAGGTCTTTAGTGGTGAGTGGCAAGTCACCTGCAGCTGCACATCCTGCCCTTGTCCAAATCTGTCCTGATAAACAGTCAATGTGGAAGGTGGGAGAGGGATTGAGAGGGATCCCAGTGCCTAAAGACCTCCCATTAGGTCCCAAGCACTTGTCCAAATAATACCATTTATAACTTTGAAATAATTGGGTATGGACACTGGGGTGGTGTCTGTGCAGGTACATGCACACTGCTACCCATCCAAGTCATCATGAATAGCTCCCCCAAGGAGTCTAGCACCAATCAGGAGGTGCTGGCCCTCACAGCCAAGGCCTCTCAGACCTCCAGCACATTGGATTTCCTGCTAAGATGGCATCTCCTGTGCCTATACCACAGAACCAAAGGGCTGATAGCAGCCTCTGGGCCACCCATCTATTCAGGTCTCTCAGGAGGCTTCCTGGTGAGGCACCACACAGCTGACATTCAACCCACTGAGCCTTACTTTGAACTTGTGGACAGTCCTGATGTACACTGTGTTCACTGATAACATATTACGAATTTAGGAACAACTAGAAACAGTTTTTGCTAAGTATGTAGTTTGTATATAAAATGTTACTTTTGCCGGATGCTGGCGGCTCACGCCCAGATGCTGGTGGCTCACGCTGTACATAAAATGTTACCTTTTCCGGATATTGGTAGCTCACGCCTGTAATCCTAGCTACTCAGGAGGCTGAGATCTGAGGATAGCAGTTCAAAGCCAGCCCAGGGGAGGAAAGTGGAGTGAGACACTTATCTCCAATTAACCTCCAGAAAACCTAAAGTGGCACTGTGGCTCAAGTGGTAGAGCGCTAGCTTTGAGCTGAAGAGCTAAAGGACAGCGCCCAGGCCAAGAGTTCGGGCCTACAACCCACCAAAAAAAATAAATTAAAAAATAAAATAAAATAAAAATATATCCCTTCCTATTAAAGAGCTTTTTTAAGGTATTGTTATTATAATACGTTTTTTATTGTAAAAATACTGTACAGAGGGGTTACAGTTACATGAGCAAGGTATTAAAGATCTTTATAATATTGATAGTAAAATGCTTTGTGAAGTAATTCTAGGCTCTTATTCTAATGCCTGATCAGAAATCAGTATTTCTGGCTGGAGATGTATGTAGCTCAGTGGTAGAGTGCTTAGCAGGCTGAAAGTCCTAGGATGGTTCCTGCCTGCTTTTGTTCCTGGGAAAAAAAAATTAAATCAAATTATCAAGTGAAATAGAAGAAGAAATATTTTCTCCACATATGGAAATTGTTCTTTCTTTCTTTATTTTTTTGGGTCCGGTCATGGGGCCTGAACTCTGGGCCTGGGTGCTGTTCCTCAGCTCTTCAGTTCAAGGCTAGCGCTCTACCACTTGAGCCACAGCGCCACTTCCGGCTTTTTTCTTTTTGCTTATGTGGTGCTGAGGAATCGAACCCAGGGCCTCATGCATGCAAGGCAAGTGCTCTACCACTGAGCCACCTTCCCAGCCCCTGGAAATTGTTCTTTAATAAATATTTTGTAACTAGAAAAATAATTGGTATGATTTAACTGAGGATCATGCATTACGTTTTTTCAGTCTCTAAAGTCTGTTCATGTAGAATTGGCCAGGCTATTTTTGTCTTTATTACATTGGCATTTTTGAAGAGCACAGGACAGTTGTTTTGTAGAAAATTCCTTATTTTGGACTTGTCTGCTTTCTTCATGAGCAGAGTTAAGTAAACCTTGTTGGATGAGTACTCTGTGTGGTGAAATGGGTTGTTCGATTTGAGGTGGTAAGATTATTTAACATGGTGTTGGCCAGAGTTCTCTGTCCTAAAAGGGAAATTTTCATTTAGGAAAAAGTTTGAGTCTCTGGGTAAAACTATATCCAGTGCCCTAATAAACTACACACAAATATACAATGTATAGTTTAATGTGTCTCTGGTTACTCAGATTTCTGATACTGTTACAAAATACATAGAAGTAAACAAAAAGAGGAAATGTTACTTTGGCTCCTGGTTGCAGAGACTTCAGTGATGGAGTTGGTGAGGTTGGTGGTTCCTTGTCCCTGTGGTGAGACAGTCTGTCATTGTGAGAGGTGCATGGGCGAGGAAACTGCTCACCTCACAGTGGCCAGGAAGCAAAGCAAGAGGAAGAGACGAGGGTACCAGTATCTTCTTCAAGAACCCCTGATTACCTAACTTCTTCCCAATAGCCCTCACTGCCTAAAAGTCCCACTACCCTGTACCAGCACCTCTTGCTGGAGACAAAGCCTTCAACACATTTATCTTTTGGGGGGGCTATGACTAACCAACCCACAGCAATATTTTTATAGTGAGGTGAAATCACATTTAACCCAAGCAGCATTAGTGTGTTCATAATGCTGTGTGGCCACGGTGCAGCTATGTCAAGTGTCAGCACATTCTCATTTGTGCCCTGTCCTCTCTGACTCTAGGACTTATCTAGTCTGAATATTTCACATAAATGGAACTATATAATTATGTGATCTTTTGTATCTGACTTTTCCTGTGATTGTGTTCTCATAGTTCTTGTTATAGTTTCTTTCCTTTTCATGAAGAATAACATGTTATTCTATTACACAGTTTATACTGTTCATCAATTGATAGAATTTAGTCTCTGTCCAGTTATAGTTACTTTGTATTACCAGCATATTTTTTACTCAGTGGTTCTAGTGTATATTTTTAATTGAATCAGTTATTATGATGATGATTATAAAATGAAGAGTCTAGTATTTTTGTTTTTCCTACAACAGTTACTATATGGAATTCTATGAAGACTTTTAAGAGAAGACTGAGGTTAATTACAGTATGCATTTGGGATTGCTTTTGTTTTGGTTTGGGCTTTGGTTTTGTGCTGGTACTGGAGCTTGAATTCAGGGCCTTGAGCTCCCACTTGGCTTTTCTATCAAAGGCTCATGCTCTACCACTTGAGCCACACCTGTACATCTGGCTGTTTTCTGGTTAATTGGAGAGTCTAATGGACTTTTCTGCCTGGGCTGACTTCAAACCTCAATCCTCATTATCTCAGCCTCCTGAGGAGCTAAAATTACAGGTGTGAGTCATTAGCATATAGCAGGTTTTGGTTTCTTTTTTCTTTTTTTATTGGGTCCAGTCATGGGGCCTGAACTCTGGGCCTGGGCACTGTCCCTCAGCTCTTCAGCTCAAGGCTAGCGCTCTACCATTTGAGCCACAGCGCCACTTCTGGCTTTTTTCTTTTTGCTTATGTGGTGCTGAGGAATCGAACCCAGGGCCTCATGCATTAAGGCAAGTGCTCTACCACTGAGCCACCTTCCCAGCCCCTGGTTTCTTTCTTTCTTTCTTTTTGTCAGCTATGGGACCTGAACTCTGGATTTGGGCACTGCCCCTCAGCTCTTCAGCTCAAGGCTAGCATTCTACCACTTGAACCACAACACCACTTCCAGCCTTTTCTGCTTATGTGGTGTTGAGGAATCAAACGCAGAGCCTTATGCATGCAAGCAAGCACTCTACCACTGAGCCACCTTCCCAGTGCAGGTTTTGGTTTCTTGAGCAGGGTTTTTACTCTGTAGTCCTTCTGGCTATGTATCCCATGCTGGCCTTGATCTCAGTCCTCCTACCTCAGCCTCCCAAATGCTGGGGTTACAGGTATGCATACACACATACCTCCTGGGATTCTTTTGTTGTTGTTGGTTGTAGAGCTTGAACTGGGCACTGTCCCTGAGCTCTTTTGCTCAAGGCTAGTGCTCTACTACTTTGAGCCACAATGTCGCTTCTGGTTTTTGAGTGGTCAGTTGGAGATAAAAGTCTCATAAGGATTTTTCTGCCCACGCTAACTTTAAACCATGATCCTCAGATCTAAGCCTCCTGAGTAGCGAGTATTAGAGGTGTGAGCCACAGCACCCAGCTATAACTTATTTATTCATGTTTGTAGTCAAACAATGCCAGACATGCCCAGTGGGATATCCTTTCCATACATCCCCTCCTGTGCTGTCAGTCTGTATGGTGTGAATGTATGGAGTTGTTTACCACTGCACTTACATTTGCTGTGGTTTAGTTACTAGTTTTCCAGTGTCTCTCTTTCTTGTTAATAAACTGTTCCTTTTTTTTTTTGTTGTTGTTGTTCTTATCTGTATTGCTTTATTACAAATGTGAGTGGCACTGTCTTGAGGCACCAGTCAAGACCAGGAAGGAGAGAATACAGTAAATGTCCTGGTAGCTTAATGGCTTCTGGCAAGCTAGTTTGAGTTAAATGAAGTAAGTTACTTTTGGAAAGAATTAAATAATATAGGTACTGTTTTATAGTAGTAAGACTCGGAGAAATTTCCTGTGCTTTTTGCCATCATTGCTAATTTCTCTTTGAGAACTGTTTCAGCACACTCTGCTTATAAATTCTCTCTCTAATTTCAGGCAAAGTCCTGCGTCTGCCATGTCTGTGGTGTCCACCTGAGCCGGCTTCACTCTTGCCTGTATTGCGTCTTCTTTGGCTGTTTCACAAAGAAACACATACATGAACATGCAAAATCCAAGCGGCACAACCTGGGTAAGACATCACCCGGAGGCAGGAACAGCTTTATTTCCTCTTGAAAGTCTACTTGTTTTTCTGAAATGGCTCATGCCCTTCTTATGCAGTTTTATGGGAAAATAAAAGAGAGACAATGAATTCAAGTGGGTTTTCCTTAATTTTTTTTTAATGTTGATATGAACAACATGGGGGGCCTGAACTCTGGGCCTGGGCGCTGCCCTCAGCTCTTCAGCTCAAGGCTAGCGCTCTACCACTTGAGCCACAGCACCACTTCCGGCTTTTTTCTTTTTGCTTATGTGATGCTGAGGGATCGAACCCAGGGCCTCAGGCATGCAAGGCAAGTGCTCTATCACTGAACCACCTTCCCAGCCCCCATTTTATATAATCTTAAAAGATTAGTGCTCCATTAACTTGTTTTGAAGTATTGCTATGAACTCTTTGGTGCTTCCTTTGGTAATAGATATCAGATCCTTATCTTCCCCTTTTTGAGATAGTTAACTGAATTTGTTCCATCAAGATAAATTTGCCTTTTATGTACTTAAAAATTCATATTCATCTTTCATTCTGGCAATCATATAAAACTCAGCTTTACTCATTTTCTTTTCTTTTTTTTTTTTTTTTT